CAAAAAAATATATATATATATTTCAACTGTATCGTGTAACTTAGATACAATTTAATAACATTAAACTTTAATTATTAATTAAATTTATGGCATTAAATGTGGTCAAACAAAATATTTTTACAACAATCAAATAATATTTTATTTATTAGAGCATCTTCAATATATTCTTCAAAATAGGGAAGGAAATTCAAAATCTCTAAAACAAAAATACATTAAATTTCAACAGATTTTTCATTTTAGAGATTACAACATTGATTATCTTATTAAAATATTATATTTTCTAATAAAATATTAGATATAAATATTTATTTTTAATAGATTCTCATTGTAATCATTTTTGGGTATTTACCAAATTTGGAGATTTTTACACTCTTTCCTACTTTCTCCATTTTGAAAAATATATTGGAGCAAAAAACATGTTCAAAACCCCCAAAATCTCCACTCTCTATTTGGATAATCTGTTGGAGATGCTCTAAACGGTTAGTCAATGTAAGTTGTCCTTTAAGGCTCGGCCGGCTAGAAAAATACCACAATTGGTCAGTCTCGAGTCTCGACCAGTCTCATATCGGTTAAAGCCATTCCTTGACCGGATCAGTCCACTTTAACCGGTTAAGGATGCCCATCTCTACATGGATGCTTGCTAAAACGGATAACCATGAAATTATCATTCGACTGCAACATTAACAAAATCAAGGACGAAATAAAAACGATAACAAGATTTCGGTTTTCGAGTTCAATCAAGAACATATCACGCATTACAAGTTACAATTCACATGTGAATACAAACCCCAAACCTCTGTATTTGGTTACATTATAACAAAAGCAAACCGAACAAAATCCACTCACAACCCTTGGCTAGAAACAACGTTATGATACAATATCACTTGCATGGCAAACACCATCTATACAGAGCAACTAGATCGTAAAAGCAAACTAAACCAAACCATACGAGCCCAGTGTATCCCACCTAGAAGTGGGGTCCGGGGAGGGTAAGATGTACACAAACATGGCCTCTACCATAAACTGGCTTTCAAATATGTGTCTCCATGGAGAGAGATTTTTTCCCGGACTACATCCATGTGTAATTAATTAGCACCAAGAATAAGTCTCCAAGCGTATGCTTGAATTAAGATGAAGGTGGACGAAGGAACTTCAAGAACGTGCGTATTCATAGAAGTTCCTTATCGTAAAAAGCAAGGAGTTGTTTCACATGATTGTTCCACGCTGCGACGTTTTGCCCATCCACCGTTACCCAATCAACCACCGTTGAGGCGGGTTGTTCCCACCACTCCTCGAGCTGCATCAAAATGCCACCATTATTTACGCATATTAACCAAAATTGTTGGGTCATTACAAGAGTGAATAGATCAAATTGTGTCCATTTCGTGTGCAATACAAATTGCATAAAGAGATGATTGCAAGGGTGCGTTTGGTATGCAGCCAGGACGGACGGGCAAGACTGAGGTTGAGGTGAAAGAATTGTGAAAGGTTTAAGAGTTTTAAACTGACATGGGTAGTTTAGTAATTTGACAATCTTATCTCATTCGCCGGAGTGTTGTTCCATCTTATATAAAGGTTTGTTGTGAAAACTGTGAAGATACCTTTGTATCGTCTGAAAGTTACAACACAAATATAACGTAACCTTCCAATACACAATTGGCTTGAAGGTGACGACAAAGTTACAATCTTCACATAATATAAAGGTATCTTCACTTGGTCTCGTAAAAATGAATTTTTTTTACTTGATTCTGAATCTCAAATGCCATTTCTTTAACATCATCTTCGTATTGATTCTCACATCCATCTATGATGCCAAAGCTTTCCTGGAGTCATTACCCACATTCTTCATCTCTGCCATTACCATGATGATACCGTTTAGTGTCGGTTTCTTTGTTCTTTACCATTGACAATGTAAACCAGGTACCACTCCATGTGACTATATTAGTTGTCAACCGCTCGTTCTCTTTATCGTGCTATATATTCGTCATTTAGTGGCTATGTTTTTCACAACATGTCAGTCTAGATAAATCTTTAATCCCGATGCTCATGTGCTTTTCATCCGACTAAATATTGATCTGATCTGTTTGTGTGGGTGAACTCCTTGTCTATGTTTGGCTATATTGGCCTATTGGATCATTTGTTTTCTATGGTACAATATAGACATGCACAAACACAAGTCCACCCAAACAAACAGACTGACCTATATGTAGTCGGATGAAAAACACACAAGCATTGAGATTAAAGATGCATCTACACATATATGTTTTGGAATAGCCACTAAATGACGAATACGTAGCGTGATAAAGAGACGACCGGTACCCAGTTTACATTGTAAATGGTAAAAAACAAAGAAACCAGCACTAACGATATAATCACGGTAATGACAGAGATAAAGAATGTCGCTAGACTAGACAACAGCTTTTGTGGGCAACGACCCTAGGAAGGCTTCGGCGTCATAGACGAATGTAAGAATCAATACAAAGATGAGGACGGCAATTGAAGATAATGTTAAAGAAACGACATTTAAGATTCAGGATCATGTGGAAAATTTTCATCATCTGAATCCCCCCTCGACATTGCTTATAGTCGAAAGTCGATTAATATTTTATTCTTTCATTTAGCAAATCAAATTTCAGAGATGTAATAACGGATCTTATGGATGCCCGAAGATATAACTTACCAACCCGTTGACATATTTGCAATCATCGAGACTCTTCTGAGCGTTCACAACTCCATTCCTTAACTCAGGCAACCACTTCTCTGTGATGGTCTTTTCTTGTTCCGAAGCCAGATCTAAACAGTAACTTGTTGTCCTGCAAGGTACGACCACTTGGTGTCAATAGTGCGACATATAGAAAGATAGAAGGCCCACACATCTACTTTATCGAAGCATACAGAGAGAACTCTTCAGGGCCACTGGCGATTTTCCAAGTTGTTATCTTCAGGGCCATGTCGAGGTGCATGCAAGTCGGCTCGGACACCCACGGTTTACCAGTGGGTGTATAGGGTTGGGTTCCGGTGAGAATGGAGGTTATGATGAGAAGGGTAAGAAGGAATCTCCACCCTTGGATCAATCCTAATTGAAGATCAACACTAATGTGGTGCACCGAGATGCACCGGATCAATTCTTCATGATAAACACGATTCATGGGTGGGGGTGAGATTAAAAGTAATCAAGGGTTCAGATCCCTTCTTACGCTTCTCAACTTAACTCCTATTCTCACACGATCCTTCATCTATATATATGTGTATATATATATACATAGAGAGAGAGAGACAGACAGGTTCATACACAATAACCAAATAAGAAAATAGGAAAACGATCGAATCACATGTGATTTCACACGTGAATCACATGTGATTCACGTGTGAAATCACATCTGATTCATGCAACTTTGGCCGCGACTGGTTCACATATGCACCTTCAAATGAATTTTTTCAATCATTCATATATGAACCTTCCCTTTTTACCTTCTCTCACGATATTTAGCCTTTTTATTTGAACCTCCCACTATATATATACACCTTAAATCGTAGTGTGGGATAAAAAAAATCATGTGAAATAAAACATGATGCACTGATTCCCATGGTTTGTAACTTTTTTGTGGTTCTCATATGATTAGCCGGAGAGGGAGGTTCAAATGAGAGTGACAAAAATGTTGAGAAAGAATAGATCTCAACGGACCAGATAAAAAGTTAGTTGGACCATTTCCAATGAATGCACCAAATTTTGCATTATACCTATTTTTTGCACCAAATCCTCTCCTACTTTTTACACTATTCGAGTGTTGTGAATAGTAAAACTCATAACCAAAATTGGAGCCACACAAATTATACCAAAAAAACGGGCATTTTATTCTCTTAAGGCTGCGTTTGGTACATGGGACAGGACAAACAAGATGAGACAAAACCCATTGTCTCACATTTGGCGCAATATAGGACAGGACAAGAACTCACTGTCCCATGTTTGACGCGACATGGGACAAGATAAGAACTGGGACAGCATTGGACAGCGTGGGACAAAAAAACTTTTCCTTTTTCCATCAAAATAGGTGGAATAAGAAAGAAATCAGAACTAAAATATTAATAATTAACCCTCGTTTGATATATAACCTCAGTATGGTATTTGTTTTTGTGGTCACCACCGGTAGCCACCGTCGGCCACCTCCACCTCCTCTTCCACTTCAACAACCACCGACCACCACCGTCCATCGCCACTTCCATAACCATCATTGGCGACCGACCACAACCACGTTGGCCACCTCCACCTCTTCCTCTACAAGAACCTCCTCCACCACCATTACCACCGTTGGCTACCCGACCACCATTGCCCATTGCCACCATCACTAGTGTTGTCGGCCACCACCACCATAACCAACACCACTTCCAACTCCACCATAACCACCAACACCACCACTGCCTACTACCATCACCACTTTCGACCGCCACCGCTACCACTATTCACCACCTTCACGTCCTCCATAGCCACCATCGTCCACCAATCACCAATGCCTCTGCCTCTACAACCATTGTTGTTTCAACAATCTTTACCGTGCCTTCGCCAATTGATAAGGATCTTTCTAATCGAATAAAACATAATTTTTCCTTTCTACGAATTTGGTTTTTTCGAACTACCATCAAATATATCAAAATTATTATTGAAATTTGGTACTATTATATATGTATGTATGTATAATAAAATTGTGTAAAATGTGTATAAATTAAATTATATAATTATTTACTTTATTTCTATTAATTATAATTATTATATGATATATAAAATCATCAAATAACTTTTGGGGGCAACTTGTCTAGTTCTGTCATGTCCAGTCCTAATCGTACCAAACACCAGACAGACACTTGTTTTGTCCAATCCTATCCTCTTGTCCTATCCAGTCTTGTCCAGTACAATCATGTCTGCGTACCAAACACTACCTTAAATTTGACATCCATATTGATATACTGTCATTCTCATTTAAACATGCCACAATAAGAAGCGTGCACGTGTGTGTGTGTGTGTGTATATATATATATACATAAATAACTCCTATTCTTCATAGCGTGTCAAGTTATGAAATGACCATGTTGAGTGTCCACGATGTACCTTTCGTAATCTTGTTGAGTGTGATAAGCATGATTTAGTAATGCATGACCACTTTCAACAAGATCCCTTCTAATATGAACCAAATTGATAGCCTTTGCTAAGTCCTCCAATACACAAGCTTCGGAACCCCGCAATTTCAAACAAAATTCCATTGATTCAAGCACCGATGCTAAGCCGGCGTCCGAACCCTCCAAGCCTAAACAAACACCAAAAAAAGAATTAGATGGCGGGTGAAAAGATTGGTACAAATAATAGAAGAATACCAAACTAGACCATAAAAACTACTCCCTCCGTCCCAAAATGAGTGTCCACATTTCTATTTTAGTTTGTCCCAAAGGGGCCGTTCACCAAAAACTTACCCGGGTAAGCGCTAACCGGTAAAATTCAACACCATCACTTACTAGGTAAGATTTTAGTCCACCGAAACGGTATCGTACGCAACAATTTACCTGGTAAGCGCTAACCGTGGTAAGAGTCGCCGCCCTCACTTAACGGGTAAGACTCTCGTCCTTGCCTTCACTCTTACTGCGTAAGATTATTGGTCCTTGCCATATTCATACGGCAAGGTAATGTGACTTGGTAAGCGTTTAGCAGGGTAAGCGTTTGGTAAATGTCCCCCTAAGTGTCTACTTTCCAATTCTATCCTTAATTATGAGATGAATAAATTCATTACTCTCTTTTATTAAGGGTACAATTGTCATTCAGTTAATAAAAAGTTTAATAATTACACCCTATGTTGTTAAAGTGATCAAAATTTGAAATAGCGGTCAGGACATGATTTAATATAGCGGACTAGCGGTTATCACGATGGTAACGTGGTGGTATAACGGTCCACATATAGCGGTTAATGTAATAATTACAATTATATATAAATGTATGAGTAGATGCATAACATAATATATATTTTGAAGATGAACATAACATGTGAATGGAAGAGATGAGCAATCAATGTTGGAAGACAATGTTGTTGTGAAGAGAAGATGCAAAATATAGACTGGAATAGAAGAGATGAGAGAGGAACGGCGAGTTTACACACCAATATTGCAAATGAAAATCAACCCCCTAGCTCGTAATCCCTTAATCGACTTCTCTAAACCCTTTAAAAGGCCAACTTAAAGCCCAATTCCTAATTGCGGTTTTCACACTGCTATGCAAGTCAAAATTGCAGCCCAACTGCGGTGATTAGCGCCGCTATTAGAGGACCGCTATTTCCCCTAGGACCGCTAACCGCTATTTCACTACAATTAACAGCATAGATTACACATTCCTAAAACTGTATGCCTTTTTCATTGTAGACATTTATTTTGGGACGGAATTAGTATTAGGCTAAAAGAGGCATCAACCACCATTGATACACAAATGTGGAATGCATTTTGCAGAGGAACACCCAAGTAAACACCCAACTGTTACGTTCATGCCTCTATGCTCAAAGTCAGGGAGAAATAGAGATGGACAAGGCACGGGACTTCCAAGCCCATTTTGAGTGAAGAAAAAAAAGGACCAGGTCGGGCTTTGGGTTGAAAAAGGGTCCGATCAGGCTTTTCTAGGTCGGGCTTTTTCGGGCCAAACTTGCCTCAAATTTTCGGCAAGATCAAGCTTTTAGGCTTGGCCCAGATGGGGCTTCGGGATCACTAGGCCAAAGCTTTTTCAAGCTGGGCTTAGGGATTGAGATTTTTTGTGCATCTCTAAGGCTAAATGTATCAAAATGTAACAAAGTTTGGTCTAGTTCATGCTTAGTGTACCAAAGAATTTTTTTCTCAGTCGATAAAAACTTTCAAAAATTCCTATTTAATGTAACAAACTTTCAAATTTTCCTATTTTTGTACCCATTTAGTTTGGCTTACTTCCTATTTAGATTAACAAAGTTCATCCGGTTATCCTTCAAAATGGGTAAAAAAAAGGAAATTTTGGAAGTTTGTTACATTAAATAGGAACTTTTGAATTCTTTGTTACGCTAAATAGGAACCAAGGCAAACTTTGTTACGTTTTGATGCATTTTGTCCTCAAAGTAACATAGCTGGTAACCAATGGCTAACAAATTGACTCCTAAGATCCAATAATCTAATTCAAGAAACGGGATACGAATATTTTGAACTGCCATGGTACTTGAGCATAAATAAGATGGAAGTCGAACTACCATTCGAAATCACATGTGAAAAACAAATGTATTCCATATATCAAAGGGCCTTTGGCCTAGCAGTATCTGAGCCTTCAGCCTCCGGGAGGAGGGAGGTCAGGGGTTCAAACCTCACTAAAGGTGAGTAGGGTGTGTTTATTTGTTGCGTTTGCCATATATAAATATTATATAATTCAATAAAAAGTTGAGTTTTATAATTTAAATTTGTATAAATATTGCAAAATAAATTATGGAACCTGTATTCAACCCACCTGCAGGATACTGAAGGGCTGCAGAAACGCGGCATATTGAAGGAATTGCAGATGGATCTCTGGCACCGGCTCTTGCAGTCAAAAGGGCGGCATTCTTTTCTGCAGCAACGACTGCATCAAGTCCAGAAGAACCAGTAGAACCCATAGACTCCAAAAGTGCCTAGTGGAGAATAACGGTCATAAATTAAACCCAAATGACGTACATTTTCGATTTATGCATGTGAATTGATGGCTCAATCATATGCAAGTTCTTTGATATATGAAGCAAACAAGTAACATTATGTTTATCTTTAACTTGATATATAAAAAGGCAAAATGACCAAAATGCCCCTCAACTTAACAGATGGACTTGACTCCCATTAGGGGCAAAGACGGACGGTGTGAGCAAATAATATGGTCATATTACACATAGACAGACCTGTGGGGTTGATGGAAGCATGTAAAGGCTATTGTCGGGACTTCGATAGAAGGACGAAACTTCTTTATCAATAAGATCTTTTGCGCCGTTTGATATGTCAATAACAACTCTGCATGCCGGAATAATGGTACTTGATGCATACTCCCGAGCAGCTAAAGGTTGCTGACTCCAAAATGCCGCAGCATCCTACATTGTGAAATAGATGAGCAATTAAATTATACATCATAGGGTTAGGTCCGAATGAGAACCATAAATTTTTTGAGAACCTGAGAACCAACTATTAATGTTTTATTCATGATGAATGTCATGATAGATATTCATGATGAAAATTGTTCATAATGAAAATACATGTTATTCATGATAAAAATGCCTGATATTCATGATGAATATGCATGATATTTATAATGAATAATATTCAAGAATATTCAAAGTTATTCATCATGAAAAATACATTAAATAGTTGGTTCCCACATGAAATAGTCGGTTCCCAGTTCTCAAAATATTTATGGTTCTCATTTGAACTTTCCTCATACTCCCTTCATCCCAAAGTAAGTGTCCACATTTCTATTTTAGTTTGTCAAATAAGTATCCACTTTAAAAAAAAGTGCATACTTCCCCATACTACCCTTAATTATGAGACGATAAATTAATTACTCTATTATTAAAGGTAAAACTGCCATTTAGTTATTAAAAGTGTGATAATTACACTTCTCTAAAACTGTGTGCCTTTTTCATTGTGGACACTTATTTTGGGACGGAGGTAGTACATGATAGCTATTGTTTATGCTCTTATTGTACAATGATTGGACGTAAGCTAAAAACGGCCGATTGTTAACAAAGTAACTAACGAAAATGTTACATGTTGACACAATGGCATTCTCGTAAAAATATTGTTTGACATGGCTCAATGCAAGACATTATAACGACACCTTACCATGTTTGCTCTCAATAGAGCACTATAGATGGACTTAAGTTCCAATCTCCGAGCATCAAACTCTTCAATCTTCTTCCACTTTTTCTTTAAAGAATCTTCCGCTTCCTTCCTCTCTTCACACAACATGTTCAATCGTTGAACTTCGGAAATCAATGTCGTCAAGCTAGCCTTCAATCCCGCAGTTTCTCTTTCCTTCGCCCAAACCTCGAGCTGAATATAAGTAAAGAGAGTTGATGAAAGATTCTAACGGATATTTTCTTGAAGAATGGCCTAACTTCCTACCTAAAAGGCATGAAACTAGATCGATCTTTTAGATAGCTCACGGGATTTTGAATATTCAAACTATATTCTAGAGGTGTCTAAAATCATGTATATTTTGAGTCATGCGAGTATTACATGCATTTCATACAACTAGTTGTGTACCCGTGTGATGAAGTAGGATACAAGATTTTATTGTCAAACGAGAAAAAAGAAAATCCGAAATTTATGTTTAAACAAAATAGAAAATTACAAGTGGTGATTAAACATGACTTGCGGTTAAAAGAACCCAAAATAATAATATACCGATATGGGTGTGTCAAATTGTTTTTTTGGGGATAATTTGTTTAATTCAAATTTTGATCATAATTTAAACATTTTATATTAAAGAAAAGATGTAATTTATTATAGTTTTAAGACAATATTATGTTTTCCGTACCTGGGGTTTGTTGAAAATTGCTCTTTCTGGCCTTATACTTTTGAAACTATGATTTTCATCCCTATGGTTTACAATTCATTGTTGTTTTTGTCCTAATGAATTCAATTTATTATTTTCGGCCCTATGGTTTACAATTCATTGCTATTTTAGTCCCTCATACTTGAAAGGTAGGAGTTAGCTTCAGGGACGAAAATGGCAATGAATTGCAAACCATAGAGACAAAAACACAATTTTTAACAAACCATTGGGACAAAAAATGTAATTTACTCTAGTTTTAATAATGGAGTAATTTTTTAATAAAGATAATGATTGGAGAGTATTATCTTGTATTTAAAAGTATTTATCAATTGGTTATTAGTTAGTTTTATGGAGTTCAAAGAGCTTTAAGAACTTGTACGCAAGAGGTAATTTCAAGTACCCATGAATTTTACATGACATGCTGAATGCTTAAATGGTTGCTTTTAAGACTTCGAGCAAAATGATTTATAGATATTTACCTCCAACTGCCTAAGACTACTCATAGTCTGTGAGGTCCCTCCAACACCAAGAGAAGGTGAAGGGTCTATGTCAACACGTCCACATAAACGCTTTAAAAGCTTTTGGCACATGCTTCTCGCCTCCGCAGCTTTGTTGAGTTCATCTTCGGTAGCCACAAATTGCTGAACATGTGCTTTCTGTAAGAAAGAAGAAACATTATTGAGCACGTTCCGTTAACACGATGCAAAAAGTAAAATGCACTTCAACCAAAACTAACAAAAGTGACACGGAAACGGAAAACATCTGCCAAACAAGTTAGGGATGTTTGGTTGGTTTTCCATTAAGTCATTTATGGATAAAGCTGACTGTGTGGATTAATCTGTCTGTATAGATCGGGAGGATTTATGTTTGGTAAGGCATTTTCATAGATGGAAGGAGTGTGTCTTTTTAAATGGGAGGGGCTTGGAAAAACTTTGACATTCTGCATAAAGCTCCCCTTTAGAAGCTTACCAAATAAGCCACTTTTTATATTATTAAACAACTACCAAACAATCATGTATCACTGACCACATAAGTTGTGAGTCTCATCAAGCTATTAACAAACAGCCTCTAAAGGTGATTAAGTTGTTTGTATAAATTAAGATAAATTACGATTTAACCCTCAATGCCGCAATATCATTTTTTTAAAACAACATTTATAACTCAACAACATATGATCAAATGTAGTAAGGGGCTGTTTGGCTGGTTTTCCATTAAGTCCTGTATCGATAAAGTTGTCTGTGTGGATTAATTTATCTGTATAGATTGTGAAGGTTTTTGGTTGGGAGGTTTTTTCATGGATGGAAGAAGACTGTTCTTTAATTTTGGGGGGGGGGGGGTATGGAAAAAACTTGGCTTTCTGCATAAAGCTTCCCCCTAAAAGCTTACTAAATAAGCCACTTCCTATATCATTAAGCCACTGCCAAACAATCATGTATAGCTGGCAGAATAAGATGTTAGACCCATTAAGCTCATGAAGCTGCTAAGGCCCTAAGTGTGGATAAGATATTGATAAAACAACAATAAAATATTTGGCCTATAGGGAAAAAGATTTGCAAAAATGGAAGATTAAAAGGGAAAAGAGGGTATTTTTGGAAAAAAATTGGCCAAATGGATAAAGGCAACGTTAGTTGGCTTAATGAATTAAGCCATGGGGGAATATGCAAACTCAAGCCAAGATGAGACTACTCTATGAAGGCTATAAAGCAGAGAAGAAGATACCTGTCTTTCAAGAAGTTGATTTTGAGTTCCTTTTGAAGGCATATCCACCCCAATCTTACCATTACCATAAAGTTGAAACGGTAATGGCGAGTTTACATCGGGAGAAGAATCGTGCATTACTCTATTATTTTCGTACTTGTACCTGAATGAATATAAGAATCACCTTTGAGTTGGAATTATGGTCACAATCACGGACACCCCGTAGGCGGGGGGAGGGGGATAATAGGCATATATATGGACTCGAACATAACCATCAAATAGGTTCTAAGCGAAAATTACATATCGAACATTAACCATTAGATTACTCTCCAAAAGAGCCCTTGAGGAGAAAAGGGTCCAAGTCTAGCAGATGTGGGACTTCAAAACGCCTCCTCCCACGGAGGCTAGACGGGTACAAATGCCCCCAAAGTGTTGAGTCATTAGAGATGGTAAAACATGTTTTGATATCATATGAGATATCTGGAACCCCATCAGATTACTCTCCAAAAGAGCCCTTGAAAAAAGAGAGAGAGAGAGAGAGAAAATGTTCCAACATAGATTCGATGTGGACACTTATTTCAGGACGAACTTGAAATAGAAATATGGACACTTATTTGGGACAGGCAGAGTATATCAATATAGCACAATAATTAGAGCAAGTTAAAAGCGAGAAAAAGTAAAGAAAATATAAATTAAACAACCATAGGTAGAAATCCGAGCATACTACAAATAAGATATACCTCAACATATCTGCATCAGCTCTCACATCAATTTTCTCTATTTCTTTAGCAACTATAGATTTCAACCTCTGAGTGTAGGTCGTTATCGCCAGAAGCAACTGAGGAGGACTTCGAAGACAATTAAGAATCACACCTTTCACCTCATCGGGTATATCCCCATCAACATCAACACCTAATTTCGCAGCTTCGAGCTGAGGATTTGAATGGATACCACTTCCTTCGTATGCGGGAAAAGAGTTTTGAATCTTTTCGATCATTTGAGTTGCAAGAGATTCACACGCCTTGCGGATATTTCTTTCCCTGCTTGTTTCGATGAGAATTACATCATCTACTGCGGGTTTTGAGCCTTTTACGGTAGAATAAACGTCTCCTTTCTCACCATCAACAGAAGAATCGCCATCTGGTTTCTGAGCATTCTTAACTTGATTAACGTAGGAACGAAGACGCTTATGATATTCGGCAAATATCCGAGCTGCTTCATCACATTGTTGATCATAAGCATCCAACATCACCTGTTTGTGCCTGCACTAAATGGCAAAATGTTACGCCCGGCACCAATATTTATGCATTTATAGTTGAAATGAAAAGCTTCACCCTCTTTCTAATCATTTCGTCTCAAAATATGTGTCCGGTTTTAAAAGTAAGTGTCTACTTTCTAATTCTACCATTAATTATAAGATTGAGAAATTCATTACTCCTATTATTAGGGGTAAACTTGTCATCTAGTTAACTAAAAATGCAATAATTACACATTTATGGGTCTTAATGGAAATAACCGCTTTACCCTGTTGGGGTAGAGGTTAGGCCTACATACATCTCACCCTCCTTAGACCTACTTTCAAGTGGGATTTATTGTGTCAGTTTGGTTTGGTTTAATTACACATCTCTGTTTTTTCCATTGTGGACATTTATTTCGGGACAAATGGAGTATACGATTCTATGAGTAAGTATAAAGACAAGGAGTTGCATCTAAATGCTTCTTTTTGAATCACCCGTAGTGTAGATTATATTTGGTTGCTAAATTTGTGTTGCTTACTTTAAGTTTTAACTCGTTCTTCAAATTTTACCACCATCTTTCTTGTTTTCGGGTTCCTTTACGGTTGTTCTTATGTTCTTTTTCCGCAATTTTTTGAAGCAACCTTTTACCTTTTTAAGCATACTTCATAGAAGATAGTGTATTGATGGAAACAAACACTCTACTCTTTGGGGTAATGTCAAATCTGCATACATCTCACCCTTTTGACCCTGCCTCCAGGTGGGATATATTGAGTTTATGGGTTTTGTTTGTTTGGTTTGGTTACTCAGTACGTAAACTATGAATAGTCGTAGAAGATTTGATTTTTAACAAGAGAATCACTTGAAGATCAAGCTCTTTCAAAATCCATATATTACTCCATCCATTCCAAAATAAATGTCCACAAAGAAAATGGCACACGGTTTTAGGAATGTGTAATTATTACACTTTTTAATCAACTAAATGACACTTTTACCCTTAATAATAGAAAGAGAAATTTTCTCTATCTCATAACTAAGGGTATAATGGAAAGTAGACACCTACTTTTGAAAGTGGACACTTATTTTAGAACAAACTAAAATAGAAATGTAGACACTTTTTTTTGGGACTGGGGGAGTAATAATCTTGACAAAGGTACCATGTGAGAATATGTGAAAGCCCATTAGATCGCTATCCAAAAAAGCCATGATAATGGAAGTTCTGACATATATAGAGAAAAATAGTCCAAGTCTAATCGATGTAAGGGAGTGCTTGTTAGTTAGCAGCTTAATGGAACTCATGGCTTATTCGGTCAGCTATATATGACTATTTGGCAAGTGGCTTAATGGCATAGAAAGTGACTTATTCAGTAAACTTCTAGGGGAAGCTTTATGCAGAAAGCCAAGTTTTTCCAAATATGCCCTCCCAATTAAAAAACATGTTTCTTCCATCTATGAAAAAAAGAACTCTCAAACAAAAATCTTCCCGACCTAAACAAACAGATAAATCCACACATACAACTTTATTCATACATGACTTAGGACATGTTTGTTAGCAGCTTGATGAGCTTAACGGGACTAACAACATATTAGGTCAACTATACATGACTATTTGGTAGTGGCTTAATGATATAGAAAGTGACTTATTCAGTAAGCTTCTAGGGAGCTTAATATAGAAAACCAAGTTTTTCCAATACCGTCTCTCCAACTAAAAAACACGCTCCTTTAATCCATGAAAAAACCAGCCCAAACAAAAACCTTCCCAATCTATACAGATTAATCCACACTGACAGCTTCATCCATACATGACTTAATGGAAAACCAACTAAACAACTAAGACTCCACCATCGGACATAGATTGGGTTTTTCGCATACCACACCTGTCATTCGAAAAGAAGCAAAACAAATGCATAATTTAGAAAATACAAACATAACTCGATTGGGTTTTTCGCATACCACACCTGTAATTCGACCGTTCGTCTAGCATCCGTTTCCGTTCAGCCTCCTCACGCGCCACCTCCAACATCCGAGCCTTCAACTCCTTCCGCTGCCGTCTCACCATATGCCGCAACCGCTCCACCTCCTTCTCCGCCAATTCCCTCTCCTGCACCGCCGTCTCTCTACTATTACTCTCCCCTGAACCACCACCGGAACTTCCACCATCCCTCCCTACCACCTTCTCCTTCCTCCTCCCTCCTCCTCTACTCCGCCTTCCAACCTCCCCACTTTTTCCCGCCTCCACACCACCGCCATCATTCTCCTTTCCCCCGTGAACCAAAATGTTCCGCCGGATATTATCAACCGTTTTCTCCGATTTAACTCTTTTCAATAAGAAATTCCAGATAGGAATCATGTTCCCACGGCAAACCCTACGAATTGCATCAGAGGATGGCATTGATGCTTTACTTGAAGCAATGTAAGGACCCAATGGTCTATAACCCATTTCCTTCTGAAGCCAATCCAATATGGCATCTGGTTGAGCCACCGAGCTCGTTGACGAGCTCTGCATTGTTGACAGAAACCAAAAAATGGAAACAGAATTAGGGTTCTTGAAATACCAAATTGGTTAAACGGAGACTGAATTCAACACCTGGGTCGTAATGAAGTCAGTTTGGAAGTGAAAACTAAAACCCTAGGATTTGGTTTCGAAGTAGGGGATGGCGAGTAGATCTGGAGATTTTGGTGGGTTTGGCCGGCAGGCAAAATCTTGAACAAAAAACACTTCTTTTTCTTGTATCCAAGGATGAAGTGGAATGTACGACTTTCTTGAGGCATTAAAAATTTTCCCCAATTTTAATTTTGAATATGAAAAAATCCCTTAATTATTTTAATATAAATTTTTTATTTAATTTTTTTTTCCCTTTATCCATGTCCATATCCATACTATCTTATAAACCAAATTTATCAAAAGTCTTAAAAATAATTTTTAATACACAGTATTATATATTTATGCACAAAGTCTTAAAAATAACTTATAATGCATTAAGTACTACTACTTTATTAATTCAGTTTTTAAAATTTTCCTAATCTACGATTAAAATAACATATAGTACACGTTACCAATACATATTATTATTTTTTCTTTTCATGTTCCCAATATACTTTTGACACATTTCGCTCATGCATTCACCCTCTCATACCTCTATGTCTTCTCTCCATCCCTCAAGATAAGATTTAAACTGATATTCACCAGGAGTTATTAAAAGTTTCCTCATTCATCTCTTATTCAATTGCTTTAGAACTCTCGGTCTTGCTTTCGATTTCTTGATTCTTTGCTCTTGGTGTAAATCGAACACATTTGTGGAGTCGTTTAAATATGTTGGATTTTAAATATATTGAATTTTAAAATTGTCATACAATTTTTTTCATCGATAAACTGTAATTTGAACCATAACTCTTATTTATTCAAAATGTATTAATATGTAAATATCAAATGTAACTTATATTATCGTTAAATCTTCTCCGATAAAACCAGTGAAACTCTAAAATCGTTAAAATTTACGGCTCCCGCCGTATTGCGCGGGTACACAACTAGTCATTGCTTGATAAACATAAACTAAGTGGCAATCTAACTTATAAGTTAATGTATTTTGTAAGTACATATTTGAATGAACATAAGCTAGCTTATTGAAAAAACTAGTTGGTGGGGTTAAAGGTATTTGAATTACCCAACCTAATATTTGAGGTTTAAAAAATCTTAATTTGACTCAACTCAAACCAAAGTGCAATCCAATCCAACCTAAACTATAGGGGTTGGTTGGGTTGATACTTTAGTATATCAAAATATTAATCTAATCTTAAATATATATGTTGTTTTTCTCTAGTCCACTCATAATTTTTATTTCATCATCAATTATTCGGTACAACTTATTCATACTTCTTAAATCTTAAGTATATTACATTCAATTCATTTTCTCAATATATATATATATATATACATATATATATATATACATACATAGAGGAGTGATCATATGAAAACCGCCTTCATTTGTGTAAACCATGCAAACCACCTTCATCTGTCGATTTCATTGTTTAATCTTATAAATTTTTTTCATGAAATTGTTTAATCTTGTAAAATTGTTTCATATAATACTTTTTTTGATGAAGTTGTTTCATATATGATTGTGAAATTGTTTCATATAATACTTAATGAAACTATTTCATGTATTTCTCTAACATTAATGAAACTGTTTCATGTATTTCTCTAAAATTAAAATAATGAAGATGATAATATCTATAATTAACATCTTCCACAATAAAAATGATTAATCAACCTCTCATAATTACAAAAAAATGAACAAAATGAAAAATTATGATTGGTTGAATACGGTTTGCACGGTTTGTACAAATTGAGTGGTTTGCATTTGATCGCTCCCCTACATACATATATATACATATATATACATACATATATATATATATATACATATATATATAGGGGCCTATTCAAGAGAGAACTGAGTTGTTTGTGGTAACTGTGAGAACCAATATTAACCACAAATCAATAGATAAATTAGGAAATTTATAAATTTGGTAATTTTAAATTAAAATCTTAATGGAA